TCCTCCTCCTCCTCCTCCTCCTCCTCCTCCATCGTCTCCATCCCTCCAACGACGGTTCTGCTGCCCGCGACGGAGGGAACGAAACCTGTGTACGTGACTATCATGGTGCCTCTCCCCCCCTCTGACGGCTGGAACCAGCGATGCCCCACGAGGACCGGACCTAACGTTGTGGTTCGTTTTGTGCTCGTTTTGCTTTTCGTTTTGCTCTACCTGTTTTCCTGTACGGACTGCCTACCAGACCACCCCAACCCAACCCGAAGACCCGAATTTCGGGTTGGGGAGGATACGGGCTTCAGATTTGCCCTTTCCATGTTTCCCGACTCCCCCACACTGGAAATGGAGGGCAGATCGGAAAACAGCGCACAGCCGAGGTCCAGCAAAACAGCGTTCAGGTCCAGCCCTGCCCCAGCCTGCTCCAATCCGGGGGCCCTCGCCGAGCCTGGGGCCGTCAAAGAGCGGCCCAGAGTGGCAAAGCTGGCCCTGGGCGGCCCATACCTCGAAAACGCGCCGCGCTGACAGAACGCCACGACGTCGACAGCCTGGGCCAGGCGGCCGAAGAAGACCGCGCCCGAAGCGGTTCGCTGCGCGTAAGTCGGGCCTGTCCCTCTACAGGAGGAATCTTCCAATATAGTCCTAACACGAATTCTGGGGACGATGTCTCGATTTCTTTGATATTTTGAACATTGCTTGACTATTTTTATTTTTCGTCCAAAATCCGCCTGCAGGGGGACATGCCCGACCTGACACCACGTTTCGGCGCCCGGAGGCAGCTTCCAGGCCCCGCTGCGGCCGAAAAGCTTGACCAGGGCGACACGCAAGCCTCGAGGAGGGGGTCGGGGAGCTCTGGGGGCCGCGGAGCGAAAGGGAGGTCTGGGTCGCACACCCCGTGGAGCGTTCGGCTCTGAACAATCGGTAGCTCTTTGATCGCCAGGTCGTTCCATATTTCGCCGACTCTGGGCCTCCGGCGGCGTTCGGCCTTGAGCGCCCGCGGCAGGGGGTCGCTGCCGCGTCGACACGACGCGGACATGCCGTAGATGGAGTCTGAGGACCAAACCTCGGGCATCTGCTGACCCAGGTCAATCCAAACCCGGGTCAGTCGGGCCTTGCAGGATCATGCAAGATCCCGCAGGAACTTGCAGGGTCCTGCACGCAAGCCCGGGTCAGTGCACCCTTGGCCCTGCAGGATCCTGCCAAGTCTGGCGCTCTGGCTGACCCCCTTGTGCATTGACTGCCGCCTCCTAAGCCTCGAAGACCTCCCAGCCTCGCATTGCCGGTGCATCGGCAACGCGGCACGATCTCGGAGCCGAGCCCCAGCCCCATCCAGAGTCCAGGAGGCCAGGCCTGTTGGGGCAGCTTGCAACGGCGCTGACAGACGGCAGCAACCACCATTGCACCAACCAGGTCATTCCTTCGAATACAGGCCTCCCAGATGGTGTCCGAGTAGATGGGGTCGGAGCATTGCACCGAATCGGCGCTGTATCGCCAGCGCATCGGCGAGATGCACCGGAGACGTCGGCGTGGCGAACTCGGGCTCCACATCGAGCCGCACCGCCGATGCATCGGCGATGCGGCGCGATCCTCCGACCCCCCCTACCCGGACCCCATCTGAAGGCCCAGGAGCGGAAGGATCCCTTCCTTCCCCGGGCGCAAAATGCCGCCCCCGATGCACCCTGGAGGACCCCCGGTGGCCCGAGAGCGGCTCCTGGAGGCCGAGCTCTGGGAGAAACCACTGGGATCTCAGGGAATCAAATCGTCGAAGATCTGGGGTCCTCGGTGCCCGAGGAGGGGTCCTCGCCCACCCCCCCCGGGAGAGACTGGCTCGGGGAGGGGGGGGGGGGAGGGAAACACTGACATCTGACATAAGATCGGCAAGACATCGCCAGTGGATCGGCGACAGGGCCCCGACAGCGACACCACACGCTCCTGGGCTGGGTGGGGCCAACGTCCCGATTGGAGATGAGTTGGCGATTGGGGGACGATGCCAAGTCCCGCCTTTTTTTCGTGCGTCGCCATCGGGAGAAGGAGGAGGAAGAGGAGGAGGAGGAGCAGGATGAGGAGGTGGAGGTGGAGGTGGAGGTGGAGGTGGAGGTGGAGGTGGAGGCGGCGGGGGAAGGTGGAGGGAGGAGGGAGAAGAGGGATCTTCGATTCTCATCCTCACACTGCCTTGATACGGGGGCGGGTTGAGGGGGCACATCAGGTGCGTCTCTCTTTCTCTGTCTCTCTCTCTCTCTCTTTCTCTCTCTCTCTCTCTCTCTCTCTCTCTCTCTCTCTCTCTCTCTCTCTCTATATATATACACATATATGTATATCTGTCTCTCGGTCTCAGGAAATATTAATTGATCAACGGGCGGATAACATATGTCTCTCGGTCTCTCGGTTTTCCAGCGGATCACAGATGTCTAGTAGAAACTAGAAACCACGCGCGTCTTGGCGGCTACAACCCGGCCGCCAAAGGGATTGTGCCAGCACCCCTGGACCGAGCCTTTCAAAGTCCTGGCGTGGGTGGGTGGGCCGAAAAAGCAGACTTGAGAGAGAAACGTTGCGGACGAACCTCGTTTTAAAGCACGTCGAATTTCACGTACCCCCTGAAGATAGTTATGTGCACGCACCCCTCTATCAACGGGGCTTCTTCTCCAGCGGATAACATATGTCTCGTAGAAACCACGCGCGTCTTGGCGGCTGCGATCCGGCCGCCAAAGGAATTGGGCCAGCACCCCTGGACCGAGCCATTAAAAGTGCCGAAAACACCCGAAAAGGGAAGTTCTCGAATTAAGGAGGGTCTGGGCTAGGGCGGGTCGCGAGAGCAAGATCGGAATAGCTGGCCATGGCATTCCGAATACGACGCAGCAGCGAGTGAGCGAGCGATTCACACAACCTCCTTGGATAAGGTTGGGCTCTACGTGTCATTGCGGATCCTTCTAACTGGTGGTGTTTACATCCAGTCATACTACAAAAAAAACCCTTTTACCTGCGCAGAGGCGCCTCAAACTGACCAGGTCTTCTCTTGGGATTCCTCCGCAAATATACCGAATGCGCTTCCTCCAAGGAGCCCCAAACTAACAAAAAACGCTCACAACCACCTCGACGCTGCCCCAAGACAGCATCGCTTGCACTTGCGGGATCTTCCACATCTTAGACGAATTTGGATTCTCGAGAATCTACGGAATCTTCCGAGCATGCACATACTCTATAATATTCAAGCACGCGTTGAGACACGCGCTTCCTTGCACCAACTTTATCGCATCCCGCGTGTTACACCGGGAGACTCCCCAAGGATATTGGGGCGTTCGCATGACCGCGACGCGGTCTCTAGCAACCGAGAACGTCTGACAAGGTGGAGCGAACATGGCTGCCAGGAGACGGCCCAAGCAGGCGTCTTGGCGTATACATCTGAGCACAGGCGGGCGACTTAAATCGCCCTGGGGCCCCTCTTGGACGCCCCATGTCCGCGCAGGCACACCTAGCCGGCGGCTGGCGCGGGTAACCGCGAGTTCGCCCGAGAAGAAATCGCCGAGATATCGGCCTTTCAGTGCCGCTCCGCGCCGCCCGCTGCGCGGCTGGCGCCTCGCAGCAGCAGCTCCTCGAGGCGCGCGCCGAGCACCTCGCGACGCGTTTAGGGTCGCCAAGGGAAGGTCGTGCCAGGCCTTGCTCAGCCTCGCCGCCTTCTCGCACCGAACGACCGACTTGCGGCTTGCCCAGCGCCCCCTCTTGCGCACCTCGTCGAGGGGGCGGAACTACAGGGCCCTGTCGAGGCTGGGGCCGCTGCGCCGCATCATACAGGGCGCCGCCGGGGCGCCGAGCTGCGCGCACGTCTCCTTGAACTTTCTTACCAGCTCGGGGCACGTGAACGCCAAGGCGGGATTGCCCTTGGGGGCTCCCGCCAGCGCAGACCATAGCGGCGTCAGCTCCAGCTGCCACTTGCAGCCCAGCACCACGCTGTCGTCCATCGCCCCCGTCTTGGTGGTGATGCCCCTGTTCTGCGGGCAGATGATGAGAGACCAGTGCCCCGATGCCCCCCGCGCTGGGGGGGACAGGTCCTCGGGCTGAATCCCCATCAGCTCGTGGGGCCGCAGGTAAGCCCCCACGCCCAGGAGGAAGGCCGCGGCCATCAGCTTGCGCCCCCGCAGGCAGAGGTCTGCGGCGATCGCCTTCCACACCGCCTGAGGCAGAGGACGCCTGGAGCGGCCGGGCGCAAGGCGGCGCCAGCCCCGCAGGCAGCGCCAAGCCCGGGGGAGCCGCCGCTTGCCAGCCTTGCTGAAGGCCCGGCGGCGGTCGGCAAACGCTGCCAACACCTTCTCCCCATAGTCCGGCTGCCGGCCAGAGAGGCAGAGAGAAACCTCGCGCTGAAGAACTCCACGAGCCAGTCGCCCACGTCGTCGTCGTCCGCGAGCGCTGAGTCTAGCCCCTTTGCGAACGTCTCGAAGTCCTGGAGGTGGCTCGAGTAGTACGTCGCACGTTGGCCGTCACCGCCTTGTCCTCCAGCATGCTCAGGCCCTCCTTCTCGAACCCCAGCACCGCTCCCAGATGCTTCGACAGCCGCCGCCGCGACCGCCTCGCCAGCCCCCTCGCCCTTCCGCCGACGGCGTCGGGCTTGGGCTCGGACGAGGAGCTGCCGCTCGAGCTGGAGCCGGCAGGAACCAGCGGCGCCGGCCCCAGGGCGGCAAGGCCGCCCAGCAGGTCGGCCCCGTGGTCGGCAGACGGTGCGCCAGGCCGCCTGGCGGGCCCGGCGTCCGGGAAGACCGCCTCGGCGCCGTCGGCCCGAGAGACGCATCCCCAGCTCTGCCGCTCGAAGCGGGCCTCAGGGCTCGCCGACGCTTCAGGCTCGGTGCATCCTGGGGCACTGGTCGAGACAAAACACGAGTCCGAGGAGCTGCCTGGCGAGGAGGCACCCGAGAAAGTTCTGAGCCGAACCGAGCACGGAGGAGAAGGGTGAGAGCAGCAAGCAGTCGGCCTCTTAGGAAAATCGGGGTCGCGTCGACGCGAGGGTTCGCCCGCTGAATTCAATTCACTTGGAATCCACTTAAAAAAGAAAGCCACATTACGAGAAAAGGCTGTACGCCACGGCCCGACGGATATGAATGAGGAGCCGGAATTCGCGTAAGCGGGACCGTGCAAAGGCCAAAACAATGCTCATACCGTCGCTATGCATCAGAGCCCTACAGTGACACCCAGGGGAGTTCAGAACAAAACGACGGACCCCCAGCCCCCAGGCCCGAGCCTCAAGAATGACGATGTCCTCGGCGAAACTACATTTGCCCCAGGCGCGAGGGGCCCAGAGGCCTTTGTCGAGGAGCCCCGCTGGGACCTCAGGAAAATCGGGCGCGACAGAAAACTCGGCGCTCTCGTCCCCCGGGGTTCCCCAGGCACCAGATCGAGGGTCCCGAACGAGGCCAGCCGTGCTGAGGGCCGACTCGCGAGCACTGTGGCCCTTGAGCTGAAACCTGCTCCTTTCCAAAACACGGCCGACGGAGGACACTTGCGCCCGGCGCCAGAATGACGTGCAGACCCCATATCCCTGCTCACTGGCATCACTCTCAGTCACAAGCTCACTCCAACCATGTCCCCAGTCCTGAACCAGAAAGATCATCAGTCCTTTCCAGGCTCGGATCTCATCACGAACGGAAGGCCACAGAGGAGCGACCTCCGAGAAATGGGCACGACAAAATCGATAGCACGCATGGAAGACCGACAGGAGGCCCCTCTGGATCAGACTCAGGAAGGTAGCATGACCGAGCCAACATTCAAAAGCCCAACCTGCGCATTTACCCCGACGGAGTATTTCCTCACTCGCAGCCCACACCTTCCAAAAACGTTCGGGCGCGGCGGCAGTCCGCAGCCGCTGGCCGTCAAGCCGGCAGCCCAGGGCGTGGATGCCCCTGCTCACCACCTCCCCGACGTGGAGCTCCAGCCCGTGGTCAGCGAAGCTCGCCTCCCACTCGTGGACCGCGCGCTGGGCCAGGCCCCGGCCCCGGGCGAAGGCGCCCAGGTTGTCCACGTACACACTGTGGCGGGGGCGGCCCTCGGCCAGCACCGGGGGGGGAGACCTGTCGCGCAGCAGCGTCGACCCGCGCAGGCTGGGCGCCGCAGCCGCCAGCCGCTCGTCAGCCTTCTGGGCGAAGTACAGCGACCAAGCGAACCCCACGCACATGGAGGCGGAGGTGGGCCACACAGCATCGGCGGACCCGAGCCGCACTCCGTCCTGCTCGCGCGGGCACCTCTGGCCAGGCGAAGTAGGGCCTTAGCCAGGCAGGGGCCTCGAGGCGGTGGAAGCAGTCCTCTACGTCAGCCATGCCGAGGTACAGCCTGACAGCCTCCAGGCCCGCTAAGACGCCGTCGCCAATCTCGATGTTCGCGAAGGCCTCCGAAGTGCACAAGCGGACGCCTGGCGGGGCGCGAAACCAACAGTTGCTCCTCCGAGCGTCGATGATCAGCCTGAGACGCGTCCTGTTGCCCTTCCAGACGAAGAAGATCCCGACCCTCTCCAAAGGCCTGAGGATGGCATCCAGCATTCTAAGATCCCAGAGCCGTCTGACGAAGCCGCGGTAGGCCTTCTTATTGCACAGCAGCTTTCTATCGGTGTAAAGCGCGACCCCGCGTGTCTCGAATTCGATATTATCCGAGTCAGTCGCGGGCCGCAGCATCAGCTCATGATGGGCCTCCAAGTAGCGAGAGACTTCGGCGCCCAGCAGCGACTCAATCGGAGGGGACCCCGACACGTCGCTCGGCAGGGGCACCAGGTCGGCATGGAAAGCCGCGCGGTTCGCGGGGCCAGCCTCCAGCTCGCACAAGGACCGGCCGCGCAGGAGGTCTCGGAGGGCCTCCCGCCCCGCGAGGGCCTCAGGCATGGGCTCCCAGTCCTTGACCAGGCCTTCCACGCGGGCCATCACCTCGGGCGCCAAAACTCCCGGCGTCGCAAGCTCCTGAGAAGGGCCCCAGGTGTCGTAGCCAGCGAGCCAGTTCAGTCCGTGGACCGCCTCTTGCACCATCCATGTGCGCCGCCTGGCCTGGCCCCAAGCCTTCCTTACCGAACGAGTCGAAGTGGCAGGGCCTTCCGGCACGGCAGGAACAGGCAGAGGGAAGAAGTCCCTCCGAGGACGGCCACCCGGGGAAGGAACCCCAGCGCCCCGCGATTGCCCGCCAAGGGAGGGGCGAGTCCCCTTGGCGGTGCTGCCGATCATTGAGGATCGGCGGCAGCGGGCGCGAGTCCGCGCCGGCCTCGGCCGCCGTCGTCGCGCCCCCCGCCGCCACGACCTCCACGTGCTCCGCGACCTCCAGCGCCGGCCGCGGCGTCGCCCGCGTCGGCGCCCTCCGCCGCCGCAGCGGGGCTGCCACGGAGCCCCCGCGCGCCACCCTGGCCCAGAGCTGCAACCACCTCAGCCCGATCCTTAGCCCGCCGCGCAGCGAACAACTGGAGGACCGGGCTCACGGGGTTCTCGGGGGTGCCAGTGCCCATGTACAGCTTGGCGCGCTCCCAGGTGACTTCTGCTGGTTAGCGCACGCATCGATGATGATCTGGATACGGCGGCACAAGGTCTCAACTGATGCGAGGGCTCCAACATTCAATTGATCATAATTAACCCCCCGCAAAGTACAGAGCGTCGCACACCACCTTCATCTCATGGTAAGTCCGATCCGACCCGTCGATCTTGCGTTCCCTCAACCACACGAGGAGCCACTGCCGAGGGTCGCCGCCGTGGCGGTCGAAGTGCTTTGCCAAGAACAGGGCGGTGCCGGGGCCCTCCAGGGGCGTGTCCGAGAACGTCTCCTGAATACTCTCGCGGGTCACGTCCCGCCAGCACTTGAATCTCTCTCCCTGGTTGTCGTAGTCGACCCAGAGCGCGCGAATGTCGGCGGCGGGATCTGCATCTCTGGGAGCGGCCGCCCCGTCGGCCTCCAGGCCCAGCGCGTCCCGCAGCGAGCCATCCGAAGGGTTGAGGCGCCCGTCTCCGCCCTTCGCCGCCTCGGCCTCGTCGGCCTCGGCGGCAGCGGGGCCCGCCAGAGGCGGGGTCGAGGTGCCCCCGGCGGCCGCGCCGCCCCCAGGCTGCCAGCGAGACCGCTCCTTGGCCACCACGTCGGGCACCGCCTCCAGTCGCATCAGTCAGCAGTGGACGTAGGACGACCCGTTCAGCACCAGCGCGTCGTGGTCGCCCGCCGCGACGAAGGCCTGGCCGCGCAGCGCCACCTCGTCGCCCGGCGAGAGCGACTCACCAAAGCCCATCGCATACCAACGAAGGCCTGGCGGCGGCGCGATGGCCTCCGTCGGCGCCGTTGGCGGGGCGGCCGACGGGGGCGGCAGGAGCAGCCCGCCTCCCTCGGGTCCAGGGGCCGAGGCCCGCTTGCCTCGCACTCGGCGAGCCGGCGCGGGCCAGTGCGGGATCAGCTCGCTGATCGGCACGATCTCGCCCGTGGGCAGGAGCACGTCGTCCAGCGCAGGAGGCGCAAGCCCAGAGCCCGGGTCGTACGCCACCGCCGCCCGATACCCACGCTTGATCATGGCCACGAGCTCCTCGCGGCCAGGGTACACTCGGAACCGATAGAGCTTCCTTCCCAGCCAAGCGGGTTTCGAGCCGTCATCTGGCAGCGGGTACGTTCTGACGATGTCCTTATCCACTCCTGCCGCCACCGCCTCTGGGTACTCATCCAGGTCGGGCGTGGCGATGAACCAGGCGTCCTTCTCGCGGGTGCACGGGTGAAGCAGCAGACGCTCGCGGTCCACCGCGTCTCCGCGGTACTGAACGCCGATCGTCTGGCCCGGCTTCAGCTCACTCCACCACGCCCCGCCGTCCTCGAACATCAGCAGCGACATCGCGAGGAGGACGGTCGCCGACAGGCACACGCCTCGCCGCAGGCCGGCGCCGTCTCTCCGCAGCCCACGCCGCCGCCCGCCAGAGGCCTCCCGCAAGCAAATGCGAGGCCACCTGCTCCGCCACGCCGGTCCCGCCAGCCGTCAGCGCCGGACAACTCGGGCAGACTGGGCAGGCTGGCGCCAAGGGGCAGTCGGGCAGCCCCAAGCCTGCGGCACCTCACAGGTGGGGAGAGGCGGCGGAGGAGCTGGGGCCGCCGCGGGGACCGGCACCTCGAGCTCGAGCAGCTCCACTCCCCAGAGGCCGCCCACGCCAGCCGCCAGGAGCGCCGCCAGCGCCGAATGGGCCAGACGAGGCCCGGGGGCGCCGACGGGGCCGGGGAGCGCGAGAGGCATCCGCTATCCGAAACAGCAGACTTGATAGAGAGAGACGTTGCGGACGAACCTCGTTTTAAAGCACGTCGAGTTTCACGAATCCCGAAGATAGTTATGTGCACGCACCCCTCTGTATGTTGTGTGGTTGCTATGCTCATGCTCACTTGCGTAAGTTTGGTCGATCCTGTTCTGGCAAGGTGAAGTCTTACAGGCGAGAGTGTCTCACCTGATTGGAGGCAGGCAAATGGCCTAAGCAGGTCAGCAAGACTGCTGAGGTGCTTCGCCGCTCGTAGCAGTTTCGACTACTACGTGAGATCGCTCGCAACTCGTAACTCGTACCCTCCCCGTCACCGCATCCCCAGCTCTACCCCCCCGGGCCAGCCCATGGGCCAGCCCCAAGGGGAGGAGTAGGAGGAGGAGGAGGAGGAGGAGGAGGAGGAAAATGAATAGGAGGGAAAAGGGAAGGAAGGGGCCATGCGAGGAGGAGGAGGAGGAAGAGGAAGGAGGAGGAAGAGGAGATGTTCGATCCTCCTCATGCTGCCTCGATGCTCCACCCCAACCTCGGCCGGCCTCTCCCCCCCCTGCCGCTGCCCGTGACACCTCCGCGACCCCTCCTCTCGGAGGGGGGGAGGCAGGCATCCAGCCGGCGGCCTCCAGAAGCGCGGGCGCCCCGTGCTCCGCCTGCTGCACGACGCACCAGACCTCTTCTCTCCCGGCGGCGCTTGGGAGGGGGGGGGGAATTCCTCCTTCCTCCTTCCTCCTCCTCCTCCTCCTCCTCCGCCTCCTCCTCTTCCTCCTCCTTCCCTCGATGGCGACGTTAAGGGAGGGACGTAGCATCGCCCACCTCCATCCCTCCCTCCCTCCGTCCCTCCCTTTTCCCTTCTCAGTCCTCCCTCCTCCCTGCTCCCTCGTACCTCCCTCCTCCCTCCTGCCTCCCGCCTCTTCCTTCTCTTCCTCCCCCGTCCTCCTCCTCGTCTTCCGTTTCCACTCGTCTTCATATTAGTATTTGCATGTTTATTATTATTATTCCTCCTACTCCTCCTCCTCCTCCTCCTCCTCCCCTCCTCTCCTCCTCCTCCTCCTCCTCCGCCTCCTCCTGTTCTTCTTCCTCCTCCTCTCCCTCCTCTTCCTCATCCTCCTCCTCCTCTTCCTCCTCCTCCTCTTCCTCCTCCTCCTCCTCGGCTCCTCCTGAGCTCCTCCTCCTCCTCCTCCTCTTCCTCCTTCTCCTCCATCAGCCCAAACAATGTTCCAAGAACCCCTCCCAGACTCCATGCATCGCCAGATCTTCAGGATGAAGAGAACAGCACCACCGACAATAGTAATAAGTATCCCAGTGCGACCCTACCTAGGAGTTGGAACCTCTAGGAAAGCAACATTAGTAGGAGCGGTAAGGGCTCAAGATGGCCCACAGACGGACAGCATGCATGGAACATACGTGCGCACACACACATAAGTACATATAGTTGTATATAGCAGCAGCAGCAGCAATAGTGGATGCTGTGCTGCGCTATGCTATGCTATGCTATGCTATGCTATGCCATGCTATGATATGCCATGCTATGCTATGCTATGACATGCCATGCTATGCTATGCTATGCTATGCTATGCTATGCTGCGCAATGCTATGTTGGGCTAGGCTAGGCTAGGCTAGGCTAGGCTAGGCTAGGCTAGGCTAGGCTATGATATGCTGCGCTATGCTATGCTATGCTATGCTATGCTATGCTATGCTATGCTATGCTTTTGCTGTGCCTTCGTTTTTGCCTTCACTTGTGCCTTTGCTTTTGCTGTTGCTTGGAACCCAGGAAGCGCAACTGGGGGAACCGCGCGTTTGCTTTTATCTTTGCTGTTGCTTTTGCTTGGCTCCCAGGGGACCGGGGGAACCGCCCGGGGCGGGTTCCACTGCCCGGCCCTTTAAGCCAAGCGAGTAAGAACCCTTCTAGGCAGAGCATAGGTAGGGAACAACAACAACAACCACCATCACCACAACAACAACGACAACGACAACGACAACGACAACGACAACAACAGCAACCACAACAACAACAACAACAACAACAACAACAACAACAACAACAACAACAACAACAATTACAACTAGAATTACAACGACAACAACAGCAAGCATTTTAAGACTGTTCGCCCTTATTATCTGCTCGAGTGTCCAATAACGCGTATTTCCCAAAACCTCGACACCCGTCCTCTTCTTCGATCGAACCCCTTTTGGGGGGTAGGCCTTTCTGCCCTGCAGGCCGGGCCCCGGCAAGCGGCGGGGCGGCCGCGGACCGTCGGCCTGGCCAGCGGCAGCGCTGATCGGCGGGGCGGCCGCGGACCGTCGACCCGACCCCAAGAACGGACAGGGGACCGACCACGACGACGACGACGACGTCGACGACGACGACGACGACGGCGGCGACGACGACGACGACGGCGACGACGAGCGAAAGCGAGAGCGAGAGAGAACGACAGCAGGGCCACGAAGGACACGAAGTAGGCCACGAAGGGCGACAGCGGGGACACGAAGGGAATGCGTATGGCGCTACGAAGAGCGCGAACGAGCGGGGGCCACGAAGGGCTGCGAATGCGGGGCCACAGAAGGCAACGATGGGGCCACTGAGGGTAGCAACTGGGCCACGTAGGACAGTGAGGGGGCCACAAACGGCGACAGCGGGGCCACGAAGGGCATGCACATGGGGCCACAACGGGCGCGACTCCTGGGTGCCTGGGTATCGGGAGCGCGGCGCTTGAGCAAATTGCAAAAAATTCGAACGCAAGGGCGCTATTCTTCAATAAATTGCCAGCCAGTCTCCAGCGAGAGCGCGACTCCAGAGCGCCAGGAGAGCGATTCCTGAGTAAATTGTGACGAAGTCCCCGGGAGCACGATTCCTTAATAAAATGCTAGGGAGTCTCTGGCGGGAGCGGGGGTCCTGGCTAAATTGTGAGGAACTCTCAGGCGGGAGCCGTTGTTGTTGTCACCCGGGGGCCAGGGGCGCAGTTTGAGCATCAAGATTTCCCCTGTCGAAAAACAAGGTGCGAGCGTCGAGGGGCACATTTTGATTGAGAATAACAATATGCACCAGTGAGGGGGGATCAACTATACTTATTCTTCAAAAATGAAAGTTCAACAACAACAACAACAACAACAACAACAACAACAACAACAACAACAACAACAACAACAACAACAACAACTACTACGACTACTACTACTACTACTACTACTACAGACGCCGCAGCAGCAGCAACAATGGCAACAACAACAAAAACCATAACACCAACAACAACAACAACAACAACAACAACAACAACAGCAGCAGCAGCAGCAAAAAACGCGACAGGCACAGCAACAACAACATCAACAGTAGCAACTGCAACAGCAACAACAACAGCACCACCTACAACAGCAGTCCCAACATCACCAATAACAACGGCAGCAGCAACGGTGGCAACAACAACAACGGCAACAACGACAACAGCAACAGCAACAACAGCGACAACAACGTCAACAATCATTGTAAGACTGTTCGCTCCTATTGGCACGCGTCTTGCACTCCGTATACCCCAACCCTCGATACCCGCCCACTTCGTCTTCGATTGCACCCCCTTTCGGGGGGAATCTCTGCCGTGCCGGCCACTGAATGAAGTGCGAAGAAGTATCGAGCGAGAGCGCCGTTCCTGAGTTCGGGGGCCTCTCTGGCCAGGGGCTCTCGGCCAGGGTGTCTCGGGGTAAATTGTGAGAAAGTATCGAGCGGAAGCCGTTGTTGTCGTGGTTGGGCCTCCAAGGGCTCACAGTTAGGCTCAAGCCAACGCTCGAGCGGGAGCATGGTTTTCAGTGAAAATGTAGCCGGTGTCGAAGCGACAGCGCGCAGAACCGTTTCCGGAGATCAACAATAATTATTACTTAGAAATGAGTACTCAACAACAACAACAACAACAACAACAACAACCTCAACAACAACAACAACAACAAACAACCACAGCAACAATAACACCACCACCACCAACAACAACAACTACACCAACGACAGCAACCGCACCAACAAGAAAAAAAACAACAACAACAACAACGACAACAACAACAACAAAAACAACATTAACAACAAAAACAGCAGCAGCAACAACAATAACAATAACAACAACAAACACAAAAACAACAACAGTAACAACAACCACAACCGTAACCACAACCACGACCACAACAACAGCAGCAGCGGCAACAACAACACCAACACCAACAACAGAGCAACAAAAACAACAACAGCAACAACCACAACAACAGCAGCAGCATCAACAACAACAAGAATGGCAGTAGCAGCAGCAGCAACAACAACAATGTTAAGACTGCTCGCTCTTATATGATCGCGGGCCACTTACCACGTATATCCCAAACCCTCGCTACCCGCCCTGTTCGTTTTCGAATGTACCCCCTTAGGGGTATACTTCTCTTACCTGCAACGTGTATGTCATGCAGTCCCTACGGCCGGGGATGAGGACGGATGGAAGAAAGGGACCAGGGGGAGGGAGAAGGATGGAGAACGAGAAAAAGGATAGCAGGAAGGGGGACAAAAGAAAGAAGCACGTGGCAGAACCAGACGTGCAGATCGGGCGGGTAAACCCTAACAGGCGGGTCGGGAAGGCGGGCCCAGGCGGCCAGGTCGAGCACGCGGGTTGCTGAAACGTGCGTCCTGCATGAATCGCGAGGAATTATCGAGCGATGGCGCGATTCCCAAGAGAATCGTGAAAAAGGCCAAACGAGAGCGTGATTCCTGAGTGTCGACGGCGCGGCGTCTGAATAAATTGCGTGGACGTCCCACGCGAAAGCGCGATGCATGCTTAAATTGTGAAGAAGTCCCGCGCGAGAGCGCGCTTTGGGAATACACTGTGAAGAAGTATCGGGCGGGAGCCGCTGTTGTTGCAAACGGCATCTCGCTTTCCGTTGTTAGAACCAAGTGCGAGCCGCAGGAGAAGCACTTGAATTTCAAAAAATACAGCGATTACCAGGGAAGGGGTTCAACAGCAATTATGATGCACCCTTTTTAACGAATGGTCTATGCTTTTATATGCAACATGCATCCATCATGATAGCAGGGAATTGTTTTTTGCCCTGGGGGGGTCGATATTCCCTTACCCGGATCCCCCGCCCGAGGAAGTGTTGACATCACCCTTTTCCGGAACACTTCAACATTTCCAACCCGGATGGCAAATCGCCCTGCACATGCCATGCTTCTATGTATCACCACGCCCGACTGGTCCAAAACCTCAGAGAGAGGCCCAAGAACCTTTGGGAGCCCCAGGAGCCCGCTGGACAGCTTGTGGAGCCCCTAGGAATATCCCCACAACCGGTAGAAGCTTCAGAACCCCTGTGGGGAACATGAGGGCCAGTGGGAGATGCTGCAAAACTGAAGGGAACCATTTCGGGGCATCTTGAAGGAGGCCCCAGGGCATTTTCGGCAAGGGCTTCGATCGGAGGAGCTTCTAGGCCTCGAGATGGAAGAAGAAGAGGAGGCAAGGGGAGGAGGAGGAGGAGGAGGAGAAAGGGAAAACGAGGGGGGAGGAGGAGGAAGAGCAGGAGGAGGAGGAGGAGGGGGAGGAGGAGGTGAGGAGGAGGAGGAGGAGGAGAAGGAGGGCGAGAAGGGGAGGAGGGGGAGGAGAAAGAGGAGGAGAAGGAAGAAGAGGAGGACCAGGAGGAGAAAGAGTAGGAGGACGAAAAGGACGAGGAGGAGGAAGAGGAGGAGGAGGAAGAGACGACGACGACGACGACGACGACGACGACGACGACGACGACGACGGCGGGGTCGCCGCCGCGAGTGTTCGATCCACCCCTGGCATTCGGAACGCGCCATGGAGGCACTGGCGCAGACCTCCCGCAGTGCACGCTGCAGCCTTGAGGATCAGCGCTACGGACTAGGGAAGCCCCAGGGCCTCTGGGAGTCTCGAAGAAAATCGGAGGAAGTATCAAGCGGAACGAGGGGGGTCCGTCTGCGAGGTCTAGGCAGGAATGCCGGTCATGAGTTAAAAAACGAGGAAGTATCGAGCGGGAGCGCTGGCGCTGCGGGAGCCAGGCTTTGGAGGCGAGCAGCGCCCCTTGTCCCGAATACAAATAGACGAAATATCGAGCGGGAATGATGTTTTTGTTGTTGTTGTTGTTGGGACCTTTCTGGCGCAACCCCGAAACGCCTAGGCGCGAGCCTCATTTTCGCAGGACATGCAGCCGAAGCCGCGGCGAGAGCGCCAGAGCAGATGTAGGGTGTCCAACACTAACAGTAATAGTACTCATGTATTAGTTTTCTCAAGGTTCAACAATAGCAAACGTCAAACTTTCCCTCCTCCCTCTTCGCCTCCAGCCAAAGATGGGCATCAAGCCAGAAGCTCTACGAATCCTTGAACCTCGAAGCCCCCCCTCTCCCTCGCCCACCCCCTCGCCCTCCCGCACCAGGCACGATGTAGACATGTGGGCCTGGGCGGGTTTGGCGTTTTTTTTCACGCAACGCGAAGCCATCTGCGCACAATCAACTGTCTTGATGGATTCCCCCCGCAAGCAAGAGCTGACACGAAAACTGCGCAGAGGCGGTCGCGGCACGCCCCTCCTGCACGCGGACGGGCTGCGCGCGCTGAAAAGCTGCTGTCGCTGCATGCAGGAGAGCCCGGTATCGAATCGACAAATCGGATCGGCGATCGAAACGGATCGAATCGGCGGAAATCGGCAGCCGAGTCGGGAAAAGTCGAATCGGCGGAAATCGGCAGGCTATTATGCCTCCAATAAGGAATCGGATTCCGAATCGAAATCCGAAGCCGAATCGAATCGGAATCGGAAACCATCGAGATCGAATCGAATCGAATCGAATCGAATCGGAAGCATCGAAACGAGCCCTGTGCATGCCATCGCGCGCTGCGCGAACGCCCTGCCCGACTCCACGGAGCAGCTGACCGCCGGGCCTCCTCTCGCGCGCCACGCCCGGGCCCACGGACAGGAGCGGCACCGATCCCCATCGCATGAGCGCACGCCATCGGGAATGGAACCGCGCACCTCTGGCCCTAAGCCGTCGACGACCTGCGCCCCTTTATGGGAGGCCTGGAAATTGGCACCAACACCAAGACAGGGGGTTGCCTCCACAGGGGGAAGGTGATCCTAGATTTTCGGTGTTGGTGGCAATAGTTCGGCCACCTTGGAAGCCAGAATATTACCACCATCACCGAGATCGGGATCTTCCTCCCTCGGTGGAGGCACACCGCCGATATTGGTGTTGGTGTCAATCTCTAGGCCTGCGAGGATGAGCGCACGCCATCGGGAATGGAACCGCGCACCTCTGGCCCTAAGCCGTCGACGACCTGCGCCCCCTTATGTTCAAAGTTCTGGCCCCGGGGCGCCCGCTCGGACGCGCGGCGCGGGCGCGGTCGACGACGGCCGCTTGCCCAGAGGAGTCCATGCTCGTCGAGACTGCTCCAAAAAAACCCATCGAAGTCCTTCAGCGTCAGAATCCAACGCGCGATCGGCTTCGCGTTGGCCCCCCCTTTCCGGCACTTCCTCAACGCCGCCTCTACCTGTGCAGCGGGTCAGCCGTGAAAATTCGACCCCTTCTGCGTTCACCCTAGTATCTGCCCATTCCACGAACTGGCTCCTCTTGTTACGGCGCAGGCCGTGTTCGCGGATGAACACACGCCCTTCGCTACGCTCGCCCTGTTCCAAAAGCTGCTTTCGCACGTGCTGCGGCTTCAGCGTAAAGCGCCTGATTGGAAACTCCTCCAGATTATCCAGCATGAGCTGGAAAGCCACAGCACCAGTCCCATTGATCTCGCCGCAGTCGGTATCGCCCACCTCGGTGCTCGCAAAGGCCAGGACGGTCGCGGCACCGACCCTGTTTTTTCTCGAATCGATCACCTTCAAGATGCGGAACTGAGCGTCGCCCTCGGGAGCACGGCGCGCGATGAACAACTACATGGTGCAGGGGACGACTGGCCCGCACTTGAAAGCAAGGGGCGGCTGCACGTCTTTGAAGCGGCCCTGAGAGCACAACTCGTGCACCTGTGCAAAATCGAAGGCGCCCTCGTGACTTATCATCACGTCCGCAAACGCAACGAGCTTCGCGGTGCCACCGCGCGAGATCGGCACTAGGGGAAGGTCGAGAATCGCCAGGTCGCCCTGAATTGACAGCCCGACCTTCTTCACGGCCTTGCCGAGGAGGCACTCGAGCTCGTCGCCGCACACCAAGAGTCGCCACCTCGAAGGTGAGCTTGGCATCGCCCACCGCGTCGTAAGCCATCTCGCCCAGCACTGGCACGCTTGCGGCGAGCGCGCTCGCCGCGGCAGGCAAGGAGACCGCGGGA